CCGACCATTCCAACTGCCACACCGTCATTGGCAGCCTATTTAAGAAGCTCCTCTTCTCAGTTTCTCCACACACCTCAAGCAAAAAGTTCATTTCATCTCTGAAGTTTAGTATAGTCTCTAGAGTATAGTGGAATAGAAATAGAATAGAATCTTCAGTCCTTGGAGTCTTCGAAAGAATTCTGGTATGGCTCTAGTAGCTTTTCCTTCTTTTGTAAGACTTGTACTTTATGTAGAATATTCTTCTTTATACTACTTTGGTATTGTACTACTTTCCGAGTATATGAATACTAATTTTATTATATGTCCAAGTTATATTTATTATGATGCTAGCTTATCTGGGAGATGCAATGATGTGGGCATAATGATCGTATTTACGATGACTATGTCATGATGATATTAGAGTTGTATTTGGTAATTTAAGTGTGGTGTTTAGATTACTGGATATCATTATTTGGAGTTATATGCTGCGGAAGCGAGGTGGGCCACTGATGGTGACAGCTCAGTATGGGTATTCCTCCGCGCGTGTATATAGGCCTAAGTTAATTTCCTGGGGAGGGTACTCCTCCGTATTTAGCCCCGGTTGGATGGTCATGACGGATTGTCGTAAAGAACTCGACAATAGGGGTGGCTTCTCAAAGCACCAGGAGGGCATCGGAAAGAAGGTATTAGCTAAGTAATGATATAACTAGCATTTATGTATAATATGTTTGTATGATAGAAGTATAGGAAAAGATATTTCTATATTCTTTCCACATAGCTTAGGTAATTATGAATGAGAGTATAAATGCTTCTTCTTAGTGTCACTCTACCCTCTAAATTATATTAACCCCTGCTTATACTTTGGTTGTTACAAGTAATATATAAATTATTAGTATAGTTCTCTCTATTATAATCTTCCCACGGGATTAAACAAAATATGATACCCTTGGAGTACTCTCGGGTGAACTTCTACAATCGTATATCCGTGCGCTTGCGGATGAACTCTGTAACCATAATATACCAGAAGTATTTCTGCGCCATTGCTAGGAATTATACGGGCTTAATCTTAGGCCCGTCATGGATGATGTCATCTCTATCGGTCATTATAAGCCCGTTACGGATGAGTATATTACCAAAAAAAAACAAAATTTGTTTTTTTTGCTAGCCTCAGGCCTTTGCTAGCCATGCTCATCTTCATCTTCCTGATTTTGTGCACCACTTCTGTCTGTAGCTGCGCCACTTCCTGATTCTTGCTCTCCATGCTTCACTCAACATGTGTAGCCCTCCATAAATCCTCGTTATATCAGATGGGCGTGTACATCCACTCTACTATCAAACATATTTTCATTCTTGCAATCTGCACATGGACAACACATGTAATCGTTGTTTCTTCTTTTNCAATCCTCCTCCGTGGCATTTATAAAATTTAATGCGCCATTTCTATACTCCTTGCTATGATGTTTTACAGTTTTCCCATACATCCAACTTTGATCCATCGCTGCAAAAATGAACAAAATATTAGAGAAAAATCTTGTAAAATAAGTATTACTAATTTAATGATAATTGATTAGTATTTTTCACTTACTTTTATGAATTTTCTGTTTTTCTTGGAAAAAAGACACAAAAATTCATCCCCTTCAACCTCCCACCAAAATAGTGAATAGTGGGATAACTACAGAGAATAGTGGGGTGGAGTATTTGAAGTGTGACATAGATATCGGTAACGGCCAATGAACGGACATCGGTGGCGGGTTCTTCGTTATCTCAATCGGGCATATTATTAAGCTTGTCACCGATAAAGGACATAGGTGACGGGCCATAGATTAATCTCAATCGAGCCTAGTTTAGCGCCCATCGCTGATGTGTCTCCTCCGTGATGGGCTTACATCTTGGGCTTGACAAAGATTATAGAGGTAATCTCAATCGGGCCTGAACGTGTGCCCGTCTGTCACGCCCCGATTTTCGTTCAGGATTAAAAATCATCAAATAATGCATTTTCTAGAAATTAAATAAAAGTTAAACCAATTTAATCAAGTGAATTATTGATGGAATTAAAAATTTCCTTTAAGAATCATGGCCGGAAATATTTTTGTAATATTCTCTGTGCCCTAATATATTCTCTGAAATTTCCGTGAATTTTCGGAGCTCATGAAATAATTTTAATAGCACAAAGTTCGCTAAATCCAATAAAATGAAAAGGAAAATAAATAAATAAATAAATCATTTCTTCTCCTTGGTCCACTTTCGGCCCAAGATCCCTTCCCCTCCTTGGCCCGCTCGCCCCTCCCTCCTTCCCTCCTCCCTCCTCTTTGGGCCGTTGGCCCGGCTTGCCTCCCTTTTGTGCAAGTCCATTTTGCTTCCCTCCTGGTCTCCTCTCTCTTCCCCTCGCTGACAGGTGGGACCCGTGGCCCCACCCGTCAAGTCCATCCCCAACCTCCAGCCGGGAGGGCCATGCCGCCCACTCCCTCCGCCGAAACCACCCACGCCGCCGCCTTTCTCGCGCCTCTCTCTTGCGTGGGCCGGTTGCCGCCCCTGTCCTCTACCTCGCGCCCATCCCGCGGCCATTGCCCTTCCCACTTGTCCCCCTAAAATCAGCCACCACCACCCCGACATCGCCGCCCCCACTTCGCCGGCAATTTCTGCCATTTCCTGCCTCATGCCGCACCCCGAGGCCTATAAAAACACTCCCCGGGGCTCCTGTCACACCCTGATTTTCGTTTCAGGATTTATAAATTATTTAATAAATTATTATCAGAATTTATATTAAATGTTCATTAATTTACAAGTGAAGTTAAATGTGGGAAATAAAATTTCCTAAATATAAAGCATGGATGGATTTAATTTTTATTAAATTCTCCATGGTTAATTATACTCTCTGGAATATTCTCGGATTTTTCGGAGCTCAATTCCTAATTTTAATCATACAAAGAGCATTTCAGTAATTACCCACATATTAAATTAATCATTAAATGGTCTAATTATAATTTTTTTAAGTACTTTGAGTGTCCAAGTATTTTCAAGATTTTTCTTGGAATTATTTGAGCATAGGAAGTATTTTTAACAATGAAAGATCATTTAAGTGATTATTTTAATTGGAAAAGTAATAAAAATCATCCTCCTCAGCTTGGGCCCTTTTCGGCCCATTCCTTCCTCTTCTCTCTCCCTCGCGCGCGTGCTGTGCAGCCCAAGCCGGCCCAAGTCAAGTGCCCTGTTCTGTTCTCAGCCAACCAAAAGTCTAATTTATCTCCCTGGCACTGTTCATCTTCCAGCTCTGGACAGAGCCGAGCCGCCCGTGCTGTGCCCTGTGCAGCCGCCGCTTCCTCCGTTAAATCCGCCTCATCCGGAGCTCCGTTTGCAAAATTAGTTGAGGGGAAATATTCCTCTTATCCTCCTCTATCTTTACCCCCAAGAATCGGAGCAAACTGTTGAGTATTTTATCCGAATCGAACTCGTTTTTGAGTTTATCTCCAAAACCGAGTTTTTGATTTCCCGGATCGATTTATTGCGGGAGGAGTCCGATCTCTTCAATCCAAGGCTATAAATAGGACCCCCTAGTCCTCCTCTTTCGTTTTCCCTCTTTCCCGTGCTCTCTCGTGCTCCGTAGCCTCGTCGCCGCGTCGCGCAAGCCGCCGACGTCGCCGGTCAACGTGCAGCCGCGCTGCGCCGTCGCCCTAGCCGTCGCCGCTGCCTCCTCTCGCCGCCGGCGGGTGCGCGTGACCGAGGGCTAGCCCGGCCGCCCCTTCCCCGTCGTCGCCGGCCACCGGAGCCCCTCCGCCGCCGGTCAACCGAGCCGCCGCCGTCGCCCCTCTCGTCGCCGGTCGTCGTCCGACGTCGTTTGTCGTTGTGGTGAGTACCGTTGGGTTCGTCTCGTCGTCCTCTACGTGTACATGCCCTCCTTTTTCCCGGCCGACCACCCTAGCTCCGGCGAGGTCGCCATCCGAGCCGGTCGCCATGGATGATGTCAGCATGACATCATCATCTTCTCCTTTTCCAGTTTTTTCTAATAGATTAAATCTTCGGAAAATCATAACTAAATAACTGTAGATCCGATTCGAGTGGTTCAAGTTGCTAAATTTTTCTAAAATCAAGATCTACATGTTAAAAATATTCACATGTACTGTTTATGCTTGTTTTTGTACTGTTTTGTTGATTTTTATTCTTTCGCTTTAGTTTCCGACGTTCTGAAGGAGAGCGTTTTCGTTGAGCAAGGTTCGGAAGTGTTTGCGGAAGCTCAAGGCAAGTCACACAGATCCCAAACAACCCTTTGAGCATGTTGAACCCATTTAAAGCTATTATTTTATTTCAACTATGCATTGTTTTCGAATGTCATCGGGTGGTGAACCTTTCCCAATTAATTAATGGCCGAAGATGATCTTATTTTCCTATGGGTTATAATTTGATTAGCATGAACCTTACATATTGGATTGGTTCAGCTAAATGTTATATGTATGTTTGCTTAGCCATGCTTATATTTAATATAAATATAAATTATGGTTATATTTAAATATAAATTATATTATATTATTCTTATTAATTATGGTTATATTTAATGGTAGCTCAGCGATGATTAATCGTGTGATGTTAATTAATTGATAATTAAAATCTGGTTA